TTCCAAACTCAGCTCTGCCACTAGGTGGGGATGCAATTTCTACAAAAAACCATTAGGTGTCTGGCTGCATCCACTGTAAAATGAATGAATGGCCACATGTAAGGTTTCATCAGGTGTAACACTTTTATGCCTTCAAGTATAATGATTAGAAGCAGAATTTAAAGTTACCATTTTATGGGATATTGTTATTAACAGATTAAAAAATTGCAGTTCGTGTACAGGGTTTTACACAGGACTGGGGGAGTCAGTCACAGCGTTCGAGAACTGCACACCAAGCAGAGTGTTGGCCAGGAACGCTGAGGAAAAGGTAAAGCTTACTTCCCCCAAGAGCAGATCTCCTCACCAAGCTGTAAAACGGTGCTCCCTAATTAGAGCACAGTTCAAACTGCCAATGATCTCCTAGTATCTCAGGCCTGCAGGGCCACTCCCATTTTGACCAAACAGCTCATCTTTGCCAAACACGCACATATGATGATTTCCAGGGTATAAAGAAATTAGAAGCCCAAAGGCATGCTCCTGGAGAGGGGACGTAAACAAGTCTTATGCAATTCCAACCCCCGTGTGTGTGAGCCTTCATCCTTCACATAGCTGTGTAAATATTTCTTCCCTCTGACTTTGGATATGCGCTTAAAGCTCCCTTTAATAAAGAAGTGGACCGCCTTAGTGAATGAAATAGTTATACTAGCACCAGTGTCTCAGAATAGCTCATTAGCTCACGTGAGAAGTAGAGGTGTGCTGGCTTGGAAATGCCAAATTTTTAAACCTCCTAACTCTGATTAAGTTCTAAGCCGTCTACACAGCTCCTCTACATAAATACTAGTTGCCTGATGGGAGGAAGGCAGACTACTCCTCTTGGCGAAATTATAATTGTTTACAGAAAATTAAGCTGAACACAATTAGCTACCCATTAACAGCCCCTTCTTGCTTCTGCATGGTAATGTGCGGAAGCCAGTCTCTGCTGCTGTACTGACACTGTCAACAACTTTCTGTCTAAGGTGGAAGCGTCCTGTGCACAGCCTGTGGCCCTGCCCTCTGGGAGGAGGCTGAGCGGGGCTGCACCTGCCAGCCTGGGCCCCATGCAGCATGGAGCTGGGGTGGTGGAGTGGTGAGAACCCCAGCAACTCAGTCAAATCAGGTTTTCGGGCTGGAGCTTTTGTGACTTGGTAAATGTGAGTTTCCCAGCAGAGCGCAAAGAATGGGCTGTGTATGTATAGTACTGTGAAAAGTGTTCTGCCCTGCTTTGGCCTGCCACGCAGATTATTCCCACTCTGCTCCTTCCACAAGGACTCATGGCAGACGGTCACTGTAAATAACATTCTGTTCTCAAGCCTGCTATAAAAAGGAGTAGAATATACTTTAACCATTAGCCATCAATATTGGAGTTCTAAAAAAATTTGAGTATGCAAATAAATATGGAACCAAGCAAAAAGGAAAGCCTTTTTCAGAGACACTGATTCTTGCCACTGCACCGATGCCAGGCCTCAAGCCTTCAGTGCCCACCCAGGCCAGCAGTCTGCAGATCCCACCGCCCACCACTGGGACTCTGAGGGGAGAAGGGACAGTCTGCCTAGGTGCTCAGCACAGCTCCAGCGAGATACAGGAAACAGAAAATAAATATTCTCCAAACTGGATAGCACCCCAATCCTTAAAGGTCAGAGCAGGCTCTGTGTGTAACCCCCCCCCCAAAAAAAGCTAAAAATACTTCATAATTTTTTTTAAAGGGGCAAGCATAGAGAGGAAATGGACTATAGTAAGTGTTTCATTATTCCTACACTGTTTTATCAGATCACCTTTTTATTAAAATGTTTTGTTATGTTCCTCACAGTGCCATTGTTGATGTCATCTATGATGCCATGAGGGTGCCAGGTGTCCACACTGCAGCTGACATACTGGGAAGTCCCCAGGATTTAGTGGTTCTGGAGAGTTCTCTGGCTACACACCGGTGCTGCATCTGTCGGCAATGTTGACAATCTCATTAAAACAGTATTTCCATTGTGTTTAATGTTTTTCTGCTTTCTTCTGTCTCTCGGCAGCTCCTTGAGGGCTTTGATGATCAGGGCAGAGGCAGAGGGCACCACCTCAGTCTGAGCCTGTCTGTTCTGAATGGTCAGCTTTACTGTATCAGATCCTTCGGGTGACCAGTCGCTTTGGCAATGTTATCACCCATTTTTTTGGAGACAGACCCAAGGGGCCGATCTTGGGGGCCAGGGCAGATGTGGTGCTGACATCACCACTGTTGCACCACAGGTACATAACTGATCTCGCTGGTGAGAACTTGGGCGGCATGGTGGAGGCAGCTGGTGTCGGATGAACCCGGATTCCCAAAGACCGAAGAAAGCTGACCTTAGCCTCCTTCTAGCTGAAAGCTGAAAAGCTCCTACACTGTTTTTTAAAGCTAAAACCAACTAGACTACAATTTTAAGAAGACCAAATTCATGAAAATAAATACATACTCTGTATATATTATAGTGCAGGGAAATTCCAGAGTCAATGTATTTACAAAGTTTTCAGAAGGGAGGGGTAAGGAAAAATCTTAATTTTCATTTGAAATTTCACTCCCGAGATTTACCATTCATCAAATGAGTCCTGGAGCTCAGCTTTCTGGGAAGGGGGGCGGTCAACGTCCCACTTGGTGCTAACAGAGACTCCCCCGTGGCACACATGTTTGGTAACAACCCCCTGCAGCAGCAGGGACACCATGGTGCCAGCATCACAGGAAACAGGACTGACTGCCTCTGAACTGCATTTATGAGTTTGACTCAGTCACAGCTCAGGCCCTGGTCATGTTAGACCTGCTCTACCATCTTAAGTTCTAGCTGTGACAGTGTCAGCACATCTGGGCGTGACAGAAACCTGAGCATAAGGAGAACTAGAAAATACAGGATAGGCAAGAACAGCACCAAGACAAAGCTCGCCCAGTCCATAACCAGGACCCACTGTAACACCTGAACCTGAATCTACACACAGCCAGGGCTTTATTCAACACAAGCAACCACTGGGCCTCCTCCACTCATGGCACCCCTCCCGAGGGGCACGCCTGCAAAGGAGACATCTGCTTACACTAATCTGATGGCAAGTCAGAATTCATTTCCTCCCATCAGCCTTGGACTGGCCACTGAAGCTAACTGTGCTGACTCTTTTGGGTTCCTGCAATAGGGAGTTTTAAGTTTCACTACTTTATGCAAGATTCAGATGCTGGCACCACACTTACACAGAGGCTCTGTAAATTCCCTTTACATGATAGGTTGCAGCTTTTGATTTAGAGACACAGACAGGGAGGGTCTGGTAAGGATGGAGATGTGTGGCTTTAACATTGCCATCCTGAGCAGACAGCTACGGTCCCAACACTTCTCCAAATGCCCTTTTATAATATCACTGCTGCTCAGTACCAGGCTTCCATTTAAAATCTCCTCAGCCCTTTGTGATCTGACTAGCTGAAGCTCACGTGATTCCAGAGGCATAAAATGCATGAATTACTCTTCAAACTTAAAGGGAAACACAAGCAGATGCAGATCATCTGGGGTTAACTTGCTCTGGTCAGATGATGTGTCTCAGGAGCCCAGGAGGCGAGGACAGGAGAAGGGCAGAGCTTCATTCCAACCCCCTGGTTTGGCAGCACTGCTAGGATGTCACAGAGAAGGAAAATGCAGAAGGGAATCTGTCTCCCAGCCTCGGGTCTGTGCCTGAGGAGGGCTCTCCCAGAAGCAGAGAGCTAGACTTTCACAGGAAGCCCTGGCCTGGGAGAGAGGAAAGCACTCTTCCTAGACCTAAGCAACCCAAATCTACTCTAAGTTGCTCAGTGACAGCTTAACCAAATTCACCTGGTCTTATGTGAAGTCACAATCCTATGACAATCAGTCTGCTTCCATCCTGGAGCTGCTTATGCTATATGCATCTTTACTGCTTCAAATTCTGATTCTTCTGTGAAACTGGACTGGGACTCTTCCTTTCATGATACAAGATTTATCTTCAGGGAGACTGCATTGTTTTATAAATTGGTCTAGACAGAGACAGCGACAGAGGGACACTTCCATTCACAGTGCATTTGAGAAAACTGAATCATGATTGGGGAGGGCATGAGTCCAGTGCCTACAGTTCTTGATTCTGGGTAAGATCCAGTCTGGGGGCAGTTCTACAGGGGCTCTGTCCACAGACAGCACGGTAGCAGGAGTCTGGGAGAAGCCCATCTTCCTGACTCAAGTCCCGGGCAGGTTCTGGAGCTCCGGGACCTTGTATTTTTCTCTTTGGGATGACAGCCTGAAATGATTTTTAAGACTTCCTTCAGCCCTGAGTTGGTTATGAACTAATCACATGTTACAAGGGCCAACTGAAAATTACGAGAGAAATTACAGAGGACTTAATCTAAGTCCATGTCCCGGGGTAAGTTTGTAGTCCTCGTGCTGCTATGGAGACCGACCTGTTGCATCACGTGGAACACTGTTTTAGACCTTGCCTGAGAAAGGCAAGAGACGCTGGCTGGCTTTGTTCATTTTCTTTTTTTCTTTTTCTTTCTTAATTTCTTTCTTTCTTTCTTTCTTTCTTTTTTTTTTTTTTAAGTAAACAGTAGTGCTGTGCTGGGACGTTCTCTAGTTTCACCTCTGGAGTTCCTAAACGCACACAAAACGCCATCTGGCAGTTTGGAGCCTCAGGTCTGCGCCCGGGCGCGTGGCTCCGGGCAAGCGCCTCTCCCTCGCCTGCGCCTGACCCTTCTCTGCGCTAGCTGCGAGATGCGCTCCAAAGCCACCTCCAGACCTGAGGCGGGGTGGGGCTCAGCGCCTCGGGGTTGCCGTCCCTAGGGACAATAAACCCTACAGCAGCCAGGGCAGAAGTTCACCCGTCCCTCCCGCCGCTCGCTAGGGCTCTAGCGCACCCAGCCCAGACCCTAAATGGTACTGGCCACCTGGAGGCTGCAAAGGCAAAGCGAAAGAGGCACCAACTGCGCGCCTGGCGGGGGACGCGTCCCGCCTCGCAGCCCAGCACCCGCCCCGCCCCCAACTCACCTGGGCGATCTTGGCCCGCTTCTCTGCAACCTCGGGGTCCGCGGGCTCTCGGCTCTCCACGCCAACAGGCGGCGCGAAGTCCAAGGCGGGCAATCCGCGCTCCGGCTCCGGCTCGCGCTGCTGCGCCACCTCCGCCTTGTCGCGCAGGATGTCCCTCTGGATCTCCTCGGGCGGCTTCTGCAGCGTGTCCTTGGCCTCGCGCAGCGCGCGCTCGTGGTTCTCGCGGATGCGGGCCAGGGGGTCCTCGGCACGCGCTCCAGCGCCGGCCCGGGGTTCCGCGGGCGGCGCACGCGCGGGCTTGGCATGGAACAGCACCCCGCTGAGCAGCTTGGAGGGGTCGGGCAGGAAGAAGATCGCGCCGAAGCACAGCGTGGCGAAGGCGCTGAACACCAGCAGCAGCGCGAACTTCTCGCTCAGGCGGAAGGCGGCGGCACCCGCACCCTTCCTGCCGCCGCCCAGCCCCGCGCCCGGTGCCCCAGGCCCGCGTTCCGCCGGGCCCCCGAGCAGCGGCAGCAGCGTCCCCGCGGGCATTTTCGCCGTCAGCGCATGCGGGGCGCGCGGGGCCCCACGGCAGGCGGGGCAGGCGGCCGGACGCGCAGCCTGCGGGACGGAGCGCGGAGGTCGGGCGGGGACCCCGCGCCCCCGACGGCCGCGCCGCGCCGCGCCCCGGCTCAGGAACTTCCCGCGCGCCCCGGGCTCCCGGCGACCCAAGCTCCTCCGAACGCTTCCGAACACGGCAGCCCAGGCGGCGTCAGCCCCGGGCCCCACAGCCCCGGCCGCGGCCCATGTCCGCGGCTCCGCCCCTCCCGTTGCTCAGCAGGCGCCGAGCTGCACCGCGACCCGAGAGCTCCGCGCTCTGCCGTGGCCGGCTGGGGCGGGGCGGGGCACCAGAGTGACAACGTAGCTGGCCAATGCACGCCTCCCGGGGTCCCGCGGGGGCGGGGCCGCGAGGGCGGGGGCGGGGCCGCGCGGGCAAGCGCTTACGGGAAGCGGGCGGCGTGGGTGGCGGGGGTGGCGGTGACAGGGGCCACGGGGGAGGACGTGGGGGGGTGACGGGGGGCTCAGGGCAGGGCCTCGGGACGTCACCTCCACTGGGCTCGACCGGATTCTAGGGTGCTAGGTCCTGGTTGGCACGGAAGCGCCTGGGAAAGCGCAGGACCTCCTGGGTTCCCAGGATCCCTGGAGCCCTGAACCCCTCAATTTCCTAGCTCCCTGAACCCATGGATCCTTGGAGCCCTGCAGTTCTGGATTTCCTAGAACCCTGGGCTCCCGGATTCCTACATCCTTGAGTTCCTGGACCCCTAGGTTCCCTGATCTCCCCAGAAGCCCTAACCCTATGGATCCCTTAGGCCCCCTCGATTTCTCAGACTTCTCCATTCCCAAGCCCTCTGAACCCCCTGGCGTGCCTGAGCTCCTTGGATCTCCGGGCCCCGAGACTTCCCGCACCCTGGGGTCGCGCCCGGGAAGCCTAGGAAGGCAGGATCGCGGGGATATGCGTGGTCGTGGTGCGCGTCGCCGCTACCGCTGCCCTTGGCTATCCGGCGCGGACTGGGACGTGCAGTGGCCGGGGCCAGGAGGAGCGCGAGGGGCGCGGCCCCAGAGCTCGGAGCAGCTCCGGCGTCCTCCACCCTCAGGCCACCGACGCGGGGCGCCGGAACTCAGGGCACCCTAGCCGCTCCGCCGTGAAAAGTTGTACGTCCCCGCCCGCCCGCCCCGACTTTCGGAACGCCTTTACCTCATAGTAGTTGCTCAAATTTTCCATCCAGAGAAGACTTAGCTGCCAGAGGTCCTGGCCATAAATTGAGCCCTGCGGACACGAAGTCTGGGACTGGCTCCTATGCGAGTGAGGACTGGGGCCAATGGAGCCGCTTTCCAGGCAGCCTTGCTTGCCGCTGCTTCTGGAGCTCAGGGTGCCATGGAGACGGCGCAGCCCCACTGCGCTCGGGGACGACCCTTCCGGGCACCCGGGCTGGGCGGGGGCACCTGTGGCCTGCCCTGGGGTGGGTTTGCGTGCGCGCGAGTGCGTGTGTGGGTGGTGGCAACGTGGTTTCCCAAAATATGTTCCCTGTTCCTCTTTCCGCCAGCAACCGGCGACTATCAAACAGGAGTTGATTGACTTCCAGCCCTGGAAGCGGCCCTGTAGCAGCCTGCTTTTCCCCCATCCCCGAGACTGATTCTGGCTCTGCGGCTACTGCGCTATTACAGGAAGGAGCTCGCTGGAGTGTGCAGGTGTCACTGTCCAAGAAGTAAAAAGCGCGATGCGAGCTTCACTCGCTAAGGTTCTTGTGGTTTGCATTTCCATACTCATTGTAAACCTGTAACTATTATTCGTTGCATGCTGGTTTTGCTTAAAAATCGATGCTTCCCTCTGAGGTCTTGCTGATGGGAAATGGTGGCTCGCAAAGCTGACTTCGCGACCCGGTTATTTTGATCCCTGTATGCAATTCTAAGTCCAGAAGAGTGCAGTATATCCAAGCAGGGTAATGAATTTGGGACTGAAAAGAAAAAGATGTTTTTAAATGATGGCGAGGTAATTTTTGTTTCAAACTCCATTTGTAGGTGGAGGATCGGCTGAGAGGACTGACTCACCGTGCAAAAATATTATTTCCAATAACACCCGTAAGATCAAGTGAACTCATGAATACACGGAGGGTGAGAACTTGGGGGACATCCACGACAGATGGGTGGAAACTGGAGTGATTACCCAAGAAGCTAGTTACTCCATCATCACTTGTTAGGAAAGATATTATTTTAAAAGTTATGTTTTGAGAGTGAGATTACTTTTCGTAGCCACTGAAATACTTAGAAACTTTACTTTTAAATTAATATTACTGAGATTTCCAGAAAAGTAATAAGATTCGCTTCTAAGTGTTAAAATGGTGATGAAGAGAAGTTGCAACTTAATTGTGATCCTAAATGCCCATTCTGGGCATTTAACCTATTATTGCCTGAAGTGGAAGCTTTCAGAATCTAGTACAGCGATTTAAGAGTGACTGCCCTAGGATCCTTAACTTTGATTGATCTATATTATTTCTAACTCTTTCGAAGTGGTCCTATAATTTCAGTACACTTTCATAAAATTTATTTTTGACCAATTTCTTGTTATGTGTACTTTTATAAGTCAGAGTTCTCTTGTGAACAAAGCCTGGCTTTAATATTTAACAAGACATTAGCTTGGACGGCTGATTCAGGCTTCACTTCCAGGCTAACAGTCCACCGTGGGTGGGTGTGATGATGTCTGGGATGTCTGGGCCTGAGCACGTTTAAGAAAATCTCAGGGCTGTGATAGTGAAATGCACCAAGCCATGCCTACCTGTTTAACATAAGCCCACAGGTCTCTGTGTGTGCACAGTAAAGGGAGAGAAGCGGGAGGTCAGCAGGTACAAATGTGCTCCAAGCAGAACCCGGCCCTTGGCCTTGATTTCAGCAACCCGAGCACATTCATATTGTGCTGTCAAGCAATGTTCTGCCCCCTGAGAGGAATAAAAAGAGAGGTGACCGACTCCGACTTCTCAGGTCCAGGAACCCCCACTCTGTTGCCTGCACCCAGACTTCCCAGGTTCTCTACGTGAGGAGACGCTGGCCGAAGGTCTGATGGAAAGGGAAACCTTGGAGTTCTGTGGAGTTTTTCCTCTTCAGATACATCCTCCGCGTTTGGCCAGTACTTCCTTGTGAAGTTCAGCTTCCTCATACCTGTTGCATGCTGGTTGTAAATGACTTCTTTTCCTTTTTAAAAATGTTTACTTCTTGACAATTTTTAAATGTTTGTACTTCCAAGTAAGATCTTTAGAATTAAGTCACTTTTAAAAACCTGGTGGTAGTCCCCAGTAACACCTCAAAGTCCAGGAAATCCCCGACTTGTTTGGCTATTTGGATTTCACTGTTTTTTTTTTAAATGTAGATTCAGCTTTTATATTAATATGTCTGAGGCAAGTATTATGATTATCAGTAAGATTACAAGGGAAAGGGGGTAAACCAATAGTTTTATAAAATTGCCAAGTGTTCAAACATTAAGTGCACTTCTTTTTCTTTAGTCCATGGTTGCAGTGCAGGACGTCAGAGTCCCCGCGGGCAGCGGGCGCAGCACATCCTCCACCTGTGGCCCTGCCCCACCCAGCTCTCCCTCTCGGTGTAGCCCTGGTCCTCTCCCCATCTGCAGAAACTCTTTTTTTCCCCCAGTTCTCTCTTTTTAAAACCTTTTTCCTTTTCTTCCTCCTCCATCTCGGTCCACTGCCCATTCGAAAAAGATCCACTTCCTGTTACTATTTTTATTTGCTATTTGGGTTTCTCAGTAAGAGCAACCATGTGATATTTAAACTTGTACATTTGATTTATTTCACTGAACATTATAGTTTTGAAGTGTATGCAGTTACATTTCAAATGCTTCAAGTTTGTCATTCTTTATGGCAAAATAGTACTCCACCCTGTATAAATACATCCGCTCACTATTGATAGAGAAATAGTTTCTTTCTTTCTTTATTCCTTCCTTCCTTTCTTTCCTTCTTTTTTTTGTACCAAGAATCAAACTCAGGCAGGTACTTAGGCAATGAAACCGGCTGTTTCTAAGATTCAACTATCTTAACTGTGATGCTATAAAATACAGGTATGCCTGGGTCACTGAAATATGGTGACTGACTCTTTCTGGAAGATACCTGGAAGGGGGTAGCTGGGTTGAATGGAATTTCTATTTTTAGATTTTTGAGGAATCTCCTTAGGGTCTAGTGGCTCACATCCCTACCACCTATATAGAAAGGCTTCTTTCCCCGCAAACCTCACCAACATCTGTTATTATTTATTAATGGTAGCATTCTTTCTGAAGTAAAATGAAATCTCAGTGTTGGTTCAGCTTGAGTTTCTCAAACAGTCAGCAATGCTGAACATTTTTTTCACATATTTATTGGCCATAAAACATTTCATAGTAGGCAGTTTCTACCAGGTAGTACTTAAAGTTTATGAGAGAAGCCTTTCGAGGATTTTTGTTTTCTTTTTTAAAAAAAAGTAACCTAATGAAAATAAATTTAACTTATCTCAAGTTAGAGTTCTGATACAAATCTTCCTATGGGAGATTTTCTAACTGTCTTTGAATTTCAGGTCAAAATGGGTTTTTTCTTTTACTTAAAATTGGTATGCATGAAATACATTGCTGTGACAACATTAATCTTCAAATTTCAGTGCTCAAATGGATGGCTTTGAATTTTAACGAAAGTTTTAGATGAATGGATGAGTGGTGCTGGTACATCTGTGGTGCTGTCCAGAACTGGAGTTTTTGCCTCTCCTGAACTTCCTTTGGAAGGCTGGAGGGTTAGGGCTCTTTTCACCACTTCCAGTCTCTTGGGGGCGCTGTGGCAGGGTGAAGGGCTGGGATCCCTTTGTTCCTTTAGGGCTCTGTTGAGAGATTTGTTTATATTTTGAATACTCATTTCATAATTATTAGCAGTCGGGAACTTAAAAACACCGTGTCTCATAAATATCTGTGAATTGGCTTTTGGGAACATTCAGAGCAGTTTTTCTCCCTAGAGACCAAATTATAAATGGCGCTTTGGCTTGGTAACCTCCTGAAGACTGAGGCTGGCAATGTTGGTCCTCAAAGTAGCTTTCAGTTAGGAAGTGTTTTATTCTTCTTGAATGTTGGGGCCTGAGGACCAAGAGGGTTCTTTTTTTTTGAAAGAGGAGATACAGTGTTTGTTTCAGAAATATTCTAAAGCAACTTGTAAGGTCAGAAAGGTGTGTAGAGACTCTCAGTTCATCACCCACATTTTTATTTAATTGTTTATTTTTTAAAAAATCACTAGTAATAACCTTATGCGGTTTCCCTTTGGTTTTGATTTAATTAAGCAATGGGTTTAAGAAAGAATGCACAGGAGGAAGTTTTCCTAAGGACATGAGTTTGAGAGAAAAAGTAGTTGTTACAGAGGGGACCCGTCCTTCTGTAGACTAGGGCTGACAAGCCACCTACATTCTGTGACACACCGCTCTGCAGCATTGTGGGCATCTTGGAGTAAGGCTCAAAACTCGTGTGTCCTGCACAGTGGGCATTGAAGGAACTCAGTTCAGTTGTTTTTCTCCCCTCCAAGGGCATTGCTGTCAGGTGTGGTGAGTGAAGCCCTGAAGGGTTCTCAGGGGTGGTGCCTAATAATGTCTGCATTCCCTCTGTGGAGCTGGTGCTTGTACCAAACACATCCTAATTCCTTTTTTCACCCCTTGTCTCTTTCTCCCTCCATCTCTTGGTCTCCTTCCCCTTTGAGACAGATTCGTCTCCCTACTTCCTATTAGCTACCTTTCATGTTTCTTCTTTAAATATTTCTCTATATCCTGTCTCATAAAATATCATATGTGTTTCCAGAAAAACAAAACAAAAAAAACCTCAGAAAGTGAAAAAAAAAACTGTAATACATGATTCTGTCCACTTGCAATTTTTTTTCATGAAATAAAGTGAAATGAAACCACATGTTGTTCCTATTTCGGAGAAACTATCCACCACCAGGACACAATAGCACTTGGCTTCCCAGTTCCATTGCAAAACAAGTTTATTGCTTGCATTCAGCGTCCAAGCTTCCCTGTTGTCCTCTGGGACAGAATGTGGCCTCAGCCCTGGGTTTCCATAACTGGGCAGGCGTTCACTTGTGACTCTTTGTGCCCTGGACTTATTTTTCAGTGAGTGTAGTGCATTCTATGGGGTACACGGATCCTAGGGGTAAGGGTGAAAGGAGACCTGTGTATGGACAGCACCTGGATGAGCTCTGTCTAGGCAGCTGGGCTGCTCTCTGTTCCTCAGGTGTCCATTAGGGCTGGTGCAGACCACAGTGGTGAGCGAAGATGCCCTAAAATCACTGTAGGAAAGATCTGCAGGTCACCAATGCCATGGCGCTGCCTTGCGTCTGGTAGACCCGACTGCCTGGAACCGACCGGGGGCTTGTGCTATTTCTTTAAATGAGCTCAGCCTGAGTTGCTTGATCTGACTCTTAAATTGTAACCTTTAAACTGTTTTATTG